AGGGCAGTGGTGGGAGGGGGTGGCTGGGTTGAAGGGGGCTGCCAGAGGAGATGGTTGGAGCGGGATGGGCCATCATCCCTGAGCGCCTGACCGGGGCGGAGCGCCCTCGGGCTCAGAGCATTTGGTGCTGTCCGGGGAATCGGCCCCCGAGGCTGGCAGGGGCCCTAGGGAGGCCGGCGGTTTGGGCGCAGCACCGAGGGGCTGAGCCTCCCCTGACCGGGGGGCAGACACCCGCGTTGTGTGGCATCTGAAAGTCCCCCCAGCACCGCTTGGGGGTCGTGGCCGGAGCTCGGGGGCTGGTGGCCGGCGGGGGGGGGGCAACCGGCTCTCCTCTGAGGGCTGGCTGCCCTCTGGTGTCCGCAGGGGAAAGTGCCGAGGGGCTTCGCTGTCCCGGGGAGGATGCCTGTCCCCAAAGTGCAGGTGACTGCAGCCCCCATGTGTGTACTTCACGGAAGAGAGGGTGCATGAGGTCTAGAGAGCCTAAAAAGAGCAAGTTGGGTCTGAACCAAGGGCAGCTCCCACCATGGGTGTAACGGATCGTGCTGAAGGATGCTGTCTTGTTCAGCCCAAATCGCCCCTGGCTGTGACTGGAGCTTAGAAGTTGTCCCTGAGGTGGGTACCTAAAGTTAGGGGAGATGATTCCCTAAAAGAGAGACTTCAGCAGCTGCCTGTGATGTAGATGCAAAGCCCAAGGACAGCTGTGCAGAGTGTGTCTGAAATACAAAGCACATCTTAAAAACAAAACAGCAAGCAAATTCTCATTTCTTTTGTTTGTCTGCAATAGGCTGATATCTATTAGTAATTTTAGTGCTTCTGCACAGAACTTGTACTGCATCCCTCTGCTACATTTTGTTCCTGGCCCAGGGGCTTGTGTATTACCTTCTTTTGGAAGTTTTAGTCTGAAAAAAAAGTAACAGTTTTATCTGTAACAAGCAGAATATCGAACTAAAAAAAACAACAGAGCTAGTAAAGAATGAACTCAGTTCCTAAAATCAAATGGTATTGGGGGTCCAGCATCCTGTCCTAACTATAAGGTCTCGGCAGGGGCATAAACACTCACACTTTCAAAGCAAGAGATCTTTTTGATCAGGCAGGAATCTTCTATTTCATTGTTACATTTAAAGATCAGTTTTTCTCAAAGATGGACATTTGAATAAAATGGCAGGTGCAAGTTCTGGGTTTTTTTTTTTTTTTTCTTGTTAACAATTTTCCACATAAGGATAGAATTTCACAACTAGCAATAATCTGAAGCACATATTGAAATTGTGTTGTATCCAAAACCCATCATGCCGTTGTATTCTGACACACAGGAGAAAGTCTGTGTAAAAATACTGCTGAGCATGCACCTGTATGTTTTCTGCATATGGATTTTTTTTTTTTTTAAAGAAAGGGGTAAGTAGGAAAAAACCCCACCTTTCTCAGTTAGTTCTGGAGTAGTAAAACTCCTGTTTGTCTCATTCATCCTAAGGAAGTTAGTCTTTAGTTCACATTTCTCAGAGATTTTTCTCCAGTGCTCACAACTGCTGACTGTCCTTAGCCTGTTGTGTTGATGCAAGATAGAGTATAAATGTGAATGTGTTGTTCAAAGTTTTCTCCTTTGAACAAGGGAGAACTTTGTTCTCCCTGTTTTCTCCTTAATAATTCTCTGCCAAAATGTGGAATCATTGCAGCCCACATTTCATTCTTTATTTTAATAAATTTCAATTCTTTCAATTTTAATCTATCCTTCTTTAAAAAAAGAAACAACAGAAAAAATAATCACCGAATACACATCCTATGATTTAATTTGCTGCAGGAGGAGTGATGCAGTAAGAAAGCCAGATAAATTGATAGGAAGAATATCAGACCAAGCTCTGGAGGAGGGCAGGCTATGACCATCTTCAGTATTCTGCATTGAAAGGGTACTCCTTGTAAGTTTTGCACCTGAAGGGAAAAAATACTTCATTTCAGCCATCAATTTTTTTTTTAATAAATCAAGCTCTAGTGGGTGCTTAGAGGAGCCACCAAGGCAGGATCTGAACAACATAATTGTAGAATGGATTTATGGATTTGTTCCATATTTATTTTCTTGGATAACATGTGCTGATTGTACACTGGGAACATTCAAGTCACTTTGTTATTGAGGCTCCCAGCATTCTAGGCAATGTTTAGATGCAAAATCTCTGTATATGTAGTATTGGTAACTTAAGGGTTTGGAAAAAACAAATACTGAATGCTACCACTTACTTACATGCTTGTTGTACAGGCTCTCCAGTTTTTGTTAAAGGTGAAAATAGTTGCCATCTCCTCTTTAGTCAATTTGAAGTCAAACACCTAACAAGAGAAACAGCTGGAAGCCACCTCTCTGAACAAATCAGACTGTAAATAAAACCCATAAAGTTAAAGAATAAGTCTACAAGGGAGGGGAGCTGGTTAGAAGAAAGTCTTGCTTCATGAAGGAGGCAAAGGCATCTCTATTTCGAAGAGCTCGTTGGCAGAGGGAATAAAAAAGAATATCCAAAGTTGCAGTTACACATGCCAGCTGTTGCAAGATGCTTGGTCAGCACTTAGCATTGCATCCACCACTTGTGAAGAATGCATCTTTCTGTCCTATTCCAAAGGAACATCTACAAGACTCTCATATTTCACTTAATCGAGCTAAGTCTTTTGAAATCTTGATGACCAGTTTCAATCAAGGACCACCAAATTAACAATGGAGCAACAAGGCTTATGGATACCAGGACTATTTTCTTAAACAGTGCTTGCTCTACATAAGCCTTTTGTGGTGGGCTACTGCACTGGGGTGCCAGTCAAGCACCATGTGCCAGTTCATCTGCAACCTGCAGAATAGGTGACACCATGTAAGGTGACGGCTAAGATTATCAGCAGTTTCCAAAAAACCTTGTTCACTTCAGCTCACAGACTGTAACCTTAACTTTAGCCCTTAGGAGAGCGTAGGTAAACAGAGAGAAAAAGCCCAGTCCTCTGGCCTGAGGAGGACATGGGAAGGGTGAGAAAGGATCACCGCTTGCTGCGCAGGGGGAAGGCGTGCCATCCCTGAAGGGCAGCACCCAGGTCACTCATACTCACTCACCTTGAAGTTCTCCACAACGCGCTGTGGTGTGACAGACTTGGGAATTGCAATCACATTTCTCTGGATCTGAAAGCAAAGGAGAATCTGCAAGAACAGACCACTGAACAGACCATTTGTCCTGTTCTGGAGGAAGCAGAGCCTGTTCCAACAGCTGTTTCCCCTAAGCTAGACCCACTTCTGCAGAGCTGCATTTCAAATCATTCCCGTCACTGTGGCCTAGGTAGTGCTTCCTGAAGAGCAAAGAGGGAAAGGGTGGAGCCTCCCATGGAAGGCCTCCTTTCCCATCCAGCTTTGGGACACTCAAGTCTTTTCCTTCCCACCTGGACTTCTATCAAGGTTTCATTCTCTGCAACAGGACTTTAGATGGGAAGGCTGAAACATGACAGCATCTGAAGACGGGATAAGAAAATGTTTCTTGTTGACAGTCAAAGAGCCCTTGCAAGCATGCATTGAAGGCCACATAGAAAACAAACCTGCATTGCTACTTAACACTGCAGAAGAGCACCGCAGTTTACACGGAATGAAAAGCCAACCTGTCCCTTATGTTGTCATTAGCTGTCCTGCGTTATAAGAAGGTGTACCCACTGTCCAGCACCTACGTACCTGTGCTATCATTTTGTTGTGCTGGGCTGCAATCTCTTTGATCGCTTGGGGTCATCCAGCTCCTCTGGCTTAGCCCTACACAGAGGAAAGATAGCAACAGAAATCTGTATTTAGATGAGTGATGAATGGTGCACTTACTGTCTCAGTGACTCTTCAAGCATAATCCATGCCAGCTCCCTCTCAAATTGCAAGGCAGCCTTACCATGGCCTTTCATGAGAGCCAAGGGGACTGTATGCTGTCATGGCAGCCCCTTTGCAGTGACAGTACTTGATCAGCTTCTCCTGGGCGAGGTATGGGTTATATTTGACGTGGCAACACAGGAGTAACAGAGATTGATAGTAATACAACTGCTGTAACTCGCTCCAGGGATTATCTCCTAATGCACTTACAGGTCAATTTTTGCTCTAATGGGGCAGTCTTTGCAAAGTATTATTCAGCCTTAGTTTTGCACAGTGCTTGCTTTTACAGTAAAGCTTCTTGCATCTCTCGGCCTTTGCTCTGGGGAAAGAGCATTTCATAAGGCTCATCTTTGGTTTCTTTGGTCTCTGAGAAGGTATGTTCTGAGGTGCTTCTCTGAGATTTCTAAGCAGTAGTTTAGCAAATATTGAAAACCCCAGAGCCTTGTATATTCAGTAATAATGTGGAGTGGGATTAGAAGGACAAGCTGCATCTGCTCTGTTCTCCCTTCTTCTCTGTTCTTGTCATAAAAGCCCCATCTTGTGAGTTTATGTGAAGGGGTTCTATAGATATCTGTAGTTTTGGATGCATTTTTTTCTTTTAGCCTGCCCTTTTTTTTGTTAACTACACACAGAGACAGTGTTGAAGTACCCTTAGGACTGATAAACTCTGGAGGCTAGTACTTGTAGTGAACCTACAAGAACTACTGAATTCAGAACTCTAAGAGATGCCTGAATCTGTACAAAGCCACTTGGAGAAATAAGCATCTACAGCATGTTATGTAGCTACTGCATACAAAAGGGTGGTGGCTGCTAGGTGCAGACAAAGACTAGGTAATTTTTTTTGTGTATGTGTGTATACACACACTGTATTTTTATTTTATATAAATAAAAAATCTTCAGGGCAGATACCAGGAAGCCACTGGTGTGCCAATACATGCTCTGCTTCTGCATATACAGTTAGAACTGACCTGCCATTTCCAACTGGGTGACTGAGTGAATTGTGCGTGCATATGTGCATTGCATGAGTGAGAAGAAATGCATGTGTTGTGTGAACAGTTATCTGCTATTAATAGTAGATTGATGCTATTACTAATAACAGAACAAATAAAGTATTTTAAGAAGTTATGGTTGTAATTTGTGTACTACAACTTCATGCCCTGTCAGGATATGGGAGATCTACAACATCCTCATGTGTACCCAGAAATAATCATAGGGTGTTAACATGCTGTTATCTGCTTTGTTCTCCCTTTTTCCAGCCTGTCCTTAAACTGCAATCACATCTTCATAATCCTTGGAAACTATTCACCTGTAGTCACTTAGCAGCTTACCTGGTTATTTGCAGGCTTCTGTTTCAGCCCCAGCTTGTTCAAGATTCTTTCAATCTGCTCATGGTTAAGTCTGAGATTCCAATGGCTTTTACCAGACCACAGTCCATCAACTCTTCCATGGCCTAACAGAAAGAGGAGCAAAGTTAGCATCCAGTGTAGAAGACAGGGCCTGAAGATGTCCTTCCTGGTATGGCTTGTTTCCTTTCATGGGAAGGGAAAAACAACTGTTTGGACATGCAAAGTTTGTCTCTTGGGGAAAAGTGTGCACTGCTGTATTTGTGCCATGTCTTCCATCTCACCCAAACCCAAAGGCTCATTTCTCGAGATGGCAGAAATTCACACGAAGTTATTTACACGTGGAAAATAATAATAATCAATAATGTTTTGTCAGGCCAGCACTGGAGGGCTGTACTCCAGGCTGTAGGCAAGATCACTATCTAAAATATATTTATTCCTGCAAAGTGTATTTGAGCAGTTTAAGAACTGTAGTGAAGACAATTCTGTAGTTGTTGTGGTCAAGCAATCTGGTCTGCAGCTCCACTGAAGACATCAGCTGGACTAAGCATGTATGTTTTGAAAAGCTACATTGTATCCTGCACAATAAATATACAACAACTTTATGACTGCTGAAGGTAATGAAAGCATGGAAAAGATTGCCAAGGGCAGAAGATATGATTCTCCCACTGTGGCTGGACTTACCTCCTATGGGTATTGACATGCCTTTGTCATCTGTGGGAAACAGCTCCTCTCCTGCCTGTCAGTGACAAAGTGCTTAAAACACTCTTTGGTTGGAAGTTAATACCAAGACAACTGAGGACCATGATAGCTTTAACTTCTAGTACAGAAAATACTAATACTTGTCTACATCATTCATGCAGGTTTACAGCATTTTGCCAGCAACCATTCCTAGTAGGAGGAACAGGTCTATCTCCTGGACCCAGCAAAGTGGTGAGTCACCAAAACACATACAGATAAACAAGTCACACCATTTGTGGAACAAACAAGCTTGCTGTACTCCTCTGTCATGCCTATTAAGAGAGAACAAGAACTGTGGTTTTTTTGAAGATTTTTTTTTTCAAGAGCATAAGGACCTGTTTAGGTCCCAAGAGCACTTAAGTTAGGTCTAGGGTGAGCCACATCTGCTGAACAACGTATTATGTACACATAGAGGTCTGTTGTGAGGGGAGCCTCAGTTTAAGTTGGTGGCACTAGGAAAATCAGAACATTTCAGACATACAGGAACAGAGAGAGACCTTGCATCTCCATATTGCTCTACGCTTAGTGTGTTGTGCTGATGTCAGAGTATCATTGACACTTTTACTCAAGGGCTTTGTTCACATAAAACTAACTATGACAGCTTTGAAAGTATGACAAACAGTTGACAAGCTCAAAAGCAACAGATAGGATGGAGGTCTTACCTTGTCTGTAGCAGAAAAGAAAAGCTAAGACTAGAAATAGACTGAGACATCTGTTCCTTTGAAGTACATGAATTATGAAACTCGGATGTCAGAAAGCCTCACCTTTTGAAATCCAAGGTCTGTGGAACAACACTAAGGCTCCTGGACCAAAGGTCAGCTCAATCTGTACTGTATTAAGGAGTCGGTGTTTAAACTCAGAAATGGAAAATAGAAGCATTTTCTTTTGTTCCATGATTCTGTAACACATAGAGGAAAGAATTTCTGTCAGGCAGCAAAGTACAGCCCTCCTTTCCACAAAGTAGGAGGCTAAGTCATTGGCAGATTAGTATATTTCGGATTTGTAGAAGACCATGCATAATCAGAAGTAAAGCAGCACAACTCAAACTTGCAGGTGGGAGGCCTGATCTTAGTATCAAAAGGGCAGAGGACGCTGTGCAAGCAGCAGTCTCATGGGCAGAGATCAAGATCCTGGCTCATCTGCCCAGAGTAAAGCCAAATGAGCAGCACCAGAGCAGTGCTGGTGCACACAAGAGACACATGGTCTTCCTGGACTGGAGCAGCAGTAGCGCTGCAAGTGTTACTGGCAGTTATTAATACATACTTTGAACGGTCTCATGAAAACGGAGAATGTGGAGCATCTCTTAGATAAGTCTTTATAAATTAAGGTGACAAAAAGAAGCTTCCATCGGTATTGACCTGAACTATGCTCTGAATTACCCCATACTATAGCACACAGCCTTTCCCCACCACTCTGAATTTCCTCCTATGAACGTGTTCTACACAAAGCAGGCCTTCCCCTGGATCCTAGGTCAGCAGATCCTTACCCTACTGACAATGAAGAGGTCATCTTGTTCCACAACGCCTTCCTTGATTTTCTGTCCGATCCCTTCTGCGACTTCACTCTCATTCTGGTACACGTAGGCACAATCAAAGTGGTGGTATGCAGCATCGATGGCAGCCATCACTGCAGCTGCTACTTGCCCAGCTGGGGACTGAAAAAAGAAGGTTAAGATCCCAAATCAAAACATACAGGCCATTTCCTTCTTATCTAAAAACTAAAGAAACACATACAAAGGGGTTTTGAGTTCTTCCATGCAGTGTTCTTAAGGGTATATTCATCTTACAAATGCAGGCTCCTGGGCTCAAAGCCAGCCTCCAGCCATTAGCCCCACTCCCATGCAGGCTCAGCCCAACAGCCAGGTGGAGCAGAGCCCCAGACACCAGGATGGTTCTCCAGAGCTGGACCAGGGGGAACCGAGCTTTGGTCCAGAGAGCTCAGCAGTGCTTCTCGCCCAGCACTCCTTGCTTCCCAGTGCTGTGCCTACACCTTAGTCATCCACGTCACCATGCAGTGCCTGTACCATGCTCCAGCCCAGCTCATCCTCTGGGCACATCCCGCCTGTCATTTGAAGGTTCTGTCAGCTGCTTCCTTCAGAGATGGGAGATACATGTGTTTCTATATCCTGAAAAGGTGTGTAAGAGCTGTGCACAAAGAAAATTTAGCATATCTTGTTAGGACAAATACGGTAATGTGTGTTTTCAGGCATTGTACCGATCGCTTATTTTGCAGTCATCGTAACAGTGGTGCAAGTCTCTTTGTCAGAACTTGCTTGAAACGCGCGAATCGTCTTCTGAAGCCGTACCTTATTGCCAGGTGACTGACGGTAACCTCGCCCTCGGTGTAAGCTACTCCGCACAGAGGCGGCTGGCAAACCAGGAGGGACGGCGAGCGGCGGGCGCGGCGCCCGGGAGGCGG